TCTCGCATGTTAAATATTTTTTATAATTTTGTTTATTTCATTTTTTAAATCATACTTTTTATACAAAAAATACTTTTAACAAGAAAAAATATTTGTAACGTTTTAGTACTTTGAAGGCGGCTGCTCTCGAAAAATGGCTTGATAATTAAACATAAATCGAATCTCTCTGTTCTAGGCTCTTCGAATCTGTGGCTCGCTCCTGCCTGGCCAAGTCGAATGTCACCCAGCAGCTGAACATGGCCGTTGTCGATGGGGAGAGCCAGGAGGTGGCCAACATTAACTGAGAAAACGCTACGGTTCGCCGCTTCTGCCAGCAGGTCTGTGCCCTTAGAGGCAGACGCAGGCAGTAGCCCCCCAGACCCCAATGCCCCATGACCCCTACTGCAACCAACCGTTAATTGATTTCTACCCTATATTATTCTGTTTAGTTTTTAGCGAATCGTTTTTAAGAAAACAGTCAAATTACGCAGAAACAAGATCATTAGCCACAAAAACCGAACCAGAAACCGAAACAATAAGAACAGCAGGCCAGGCCTTACTGCTGTGGTCGTCGATAAGAAACGAAACCCGAAACTCGAGCACGAGGAAACGATTGTAACATTTTAAATGACGCTCTCCAGAAAAAAAAAAAACAAACAAAAAAAAACACAATAACAAAAAATGAGAATGTTATAAATTTTTAATATAATTGTAAAAAAAAAAAAACTGTTGTAAAGTAATCAAAAAAGAAAAAAACAAAATGAGAAAAAAAATCGAGAAATGAAAAGAAAAATGAAAAATATTTTCAACAAAAAAATTGCAAAACGTACAATGAAAATGTGAAAAAACTAACAAATGCGATGTAAATATGTAGATGGTTGTTGCTACAGACTTATTCAGAACAATCAGAGGAAAACACACAAAGAGACGTAGCAACAACAACATTTTATATATGTATACATATTCATTTATGAACAACCATACAAAGAAGATATACCCTATGGCCGCCCACTCTCAACCGGGCAATACTGATAGACATAAATCGAAGCGCAGAGGAAGAAGCAAAAGCAAAAGCAGAAGCAGTTGCAGGAAAATTGTAAAATTCTCAAGTCAAAGTAGCTTATCCCTTAACTCTATGATATATATATATATTGTTTTGTCACATCTAAACCTAAACCAAGAGGTTCTTCAGTTAGTTACTCATTGTGTACTGTACTTTAATTTTTAAAATGTGCCGACAAAGCCACAATAATCAATCCCATGTCTGATCTTATATGCATTGTATACAACTACACTATGTTCTTGTTTTTTAATATTTTTACAATTATTAACTGAAATGGGAATTATGCATTGAACTCTCCAGAACTTAAGATTGTTAGTCGTCTAATCGTCATCCCTTGTAGAGATAGAGATAATGGTGTGAGATCAGAGGACGATGTGCAGTAGAGAGAGTGTGGCAAAGAGTCGTAGCAATTATCTATATATAAATATATAAAAATTGTATTTCTAAATATAAATACGTAAATGTGTAAATCAAATCGGTGTTGATTGTGGTCGTTGGAATGCAACTGGAACTGGAGCGGATTGTAGCAATGGAAGGAGATAGTGAGCAGCAGTTAAGACTATTTTGAAGGTTATTGCAACAGTACAGGCGCCGCCGCCCCCCTCTCTCACGCCACGCACCCACTGCAGCAGCGAGCAAAGCCCAACTTTATTAGTTTATATTATACATACATTATATATATATACACATACATATAAATAGCAACAAGAACATTCATTGTATTTACGCACGTTAAATTGTATTTTGAATTAAACTGAATTGAAGCATCAATCGAAACGGATCTGATCTATAGGAAAGCAAAACCAAGAGGATAATAGTGGAAGGACATACTCGTTTAGGGGTCGGTCAGGGCGCTAGGCAGGGGCAGAGGGGCCACTAATTTATAGAATAAAGCGGAGGAATTCGATTCTGATGTACATAACTGATTTATGTATGTATTATGTATGCGTTCACCGATTAGACGATATGCGCACACACATATTCGTTAACGAAAACTGCGACACAAGAAATATATATACATATGTATATCCTAATCCATTACAATTGAATTAAGTAACATTATTAAGAATATAAAATAAATAAAAATGTATAAACTGCAAAATTATAAAAAATGTCAAACTGCGTTTGAGAAATCTTCCCTCCCTGCTGCCCTATCCTTAAGCTTTTCACCGTTACCAATGAAGTACCATTCGTGTGTGTGTGTATCTGTAAATGTGTGTGTGGTGTGAGTGGGTGAGGTGCCTCGTGCCCCCACTTAAAAAAGCTTATTTATAGGAGCAAAAGGGCGTCCGTGGGTGGACCTTTCACCACCCACCCGCTTTTCCTTGCACATAAGTACATGTGTACATACATATGTACATATGTATGTAGTCCATTTCCGCACCCGCAGGCTTACATAAGCTGCCCCACCATATACATACATAGACCCCGCATCACATCTGTTGGTGGTGGGGAGCATTTGGGTTAAGTAAACAGAGCCACAACGAAATGTCGATAAATGCACAGACCACCGTACATGAGAGAGAGCCAGCTACACAGAGAGCGAGAGCGACAGAGAAAAAGCACAAATGTACATATGTACATACATACAGTTTACAGCTTTGAAAACTAAAATGTGTCTGTTTGCATGTATATATGTATGTATGTACTTGTATGCCTTGGCAGGCAGGCAGGCAGGGTATCTATTGTGTTGTATGTATGTGTGTGACACGAATTCAACATTAATTGAAATGCTGCAGTCATCGCAGTCGTTTCCCCATTGCTGTGTTGTTTTGGCTGCCAATTCACATGAATTTGTCATAAGGCTGATAAAAGAGAAGAAAGCCAAGTGAAAAATACAAAAAATGACCAAAGAGTTGATTTTTATGTATGTAGCTTTGTTAGCGCTTGGCAACCGCAACGAAAGGGGTGCGCGGGGGGGCGGTGACGCCAGAAGCATGAAAAAAAATTAATGTGGCACACTTAAGCGCAGCGCTGACGCCAACGCTGAGCCAGCGTCGCTGCGAAAAAATTCCCCTGCTGCCTGGCCTGGCTACAAAGCTACAGCAGCAGCTACAGCTACAGCTACAAAGACACAGCACATAATATACCGTATACATGGCCATTTGAATGTGCTTAGAAGTGCGCGCGCGCGCGAAGAGAGAGAGAGAGAGAGTAGAGTTTCGTTAAGAAGCTCTCTGCCCAACACAGTCACGTGTTCGGCCTGTGTGTATCTGCCCACTGCATGTGTGTGTGTGTGTGTGTTTGCGAGCGGGTCTGAGTCAGCAGCAGCAGCGCCATTAGTTTTTCTGCTTCTTCTTCGACTTTTTTGTAGCCAGCCCCACAGATACACACACACGCACAGGGGAACACGAACACACATACACTGCTCGAAAAAAGAGTTGTGCTATACATAATTCTTCGTTTAGCCTCTGCAGAGGGGAGACGAGAGAGACCCATGTTTCGATTTGTCGCTTTTGAAATGTTTGCGCAGACCAAGAACCAAACCAGACCCCAACCACAACTAGATTTCTTTTTTATTTTCTTTTTTTTTTTTCCCAGAAGCCACACCAAACCCTCCCACCTCCCGTTGCACTTCCTCACTCTCTGACCCAGTTTTCTAGGCCTGCACCGACACCGACCCAGCCGACTTGTCATCGGGCGCTGCTCTTGGCTTTCGAATGCAGTGCACTGCTGCTGGTATGCTTCCACAATGTTGCCAGTGGTGAGTCTTCCAGCAGGCAAACCCTATCCTATCCTATGATTATGGCCAGTCCCATCTCGACTCGTTGTCCGCCTCTTGGCGCAGAAAATTGAAACTGAATCTCGTTAAATTGTTAAGGCAACGGAAATTACACCAAAACAGGAGTAAAAAAAAACCTTTGGCGACACTAAGTGAAATCGGAAATAGAATGCACTGGTCAAGCACTGTTGCCCCCTCCCTCCACTCACCCACCCACCACCACCCGCCAATCGTTAACAGATTTACAAAAATAGCCTTTCATTATGACATTATGAATGAATGGTCTGCTGTTGGTGACCCCGACGCGCACTTTCTCTTGCGCCCATAATCAATGGACCACTCTACAATATAATCGATGTACGATATTCCCATTACGAGAGCCCCCAACAACCATTAGCATTAGGTAAGCGGTGCATGTGGAAGCTTCAATGCTGCTGCTTGTGGGACTTGACTTGGCTTGATGGAAAACATAATTCAATCAGCCTGGCCTGGCAGTGCGGGTGGGCTGGGCTGCCGCGAATGCTGTGGGCTACGATAATTTCTAATTTAAGATGCGCTGCGCAGCGCAGTGCTGCTATTTTTGTTGTTGTTCCAACCCAATTGCATTTGAAAAGTGCACAAGGAACGGGAAGAGGGTGTGCAAGTGGCAGGACTGGAGGATGCGATGGTAACTAGCTTAGCAACAGCAAAAAAGAAATAAAAAACTGGAGCACATTTATGTATCCGCCACATAATGTGGCACTCTGGAGTGGTGTGGCGTCATCACTCCTTTGGCATAGATTCGCATAAATTTCCTTAGATTTATAACGGAAGAAGGATGCTGCACAGATGGTGGGGTTTTTTGCAGGAGTCAGTTGGGCCCTCTCCCACCTGACCAATTGCTTCTGTTCTGTCGTTGAGTGAGTGACGTGTGACTGGGGTGACTGAGTGATTGACTGATTGAGGTTGCCTGCCAGTTGCCAGTTACCAGTTACCGGTTACAATTTACCAGTTTTGCCGTTAATTGAATTCTCTCTATCAGGTGTCTAGTGCCCCAGCTGCTGCTCCAGCTCCTTCTCCTGCTCCTGCTCCTTGTCTGTCACAGCATCAGCAGGAAATTGCGCTGCTGGGTAGATCGGAGCATGTGGAGCAGAACAGCCGATTGGCGTTGCATTCAATTAAAAGAAATTCGATTACCCCCCAGCACCACACACCCACACCCAGACACCCACTTCCAATCCAAGTTTCAAACTCATTTAACTCTGTTGCAGTTTAATTGAATTTTTTTCCCCCCCAGAAGAGGAATCATCACACACAGTATGTCCAACTCCCGCATTTATCTAGGGCTGAACGTTGGCATAGGGTCCAATGCCGGCGGCCCGAGCCATCATAGCTGCAATATTTGTCTGCTCGTAATTGCCGCTAAAATACTGGGCAAAGGGACCTGAGGCATAGACTGCCACATCGTCGCCACCATGCGACTCGGCAGCGAGCGGCACCAGTGTGGGATACTGGAAGTCCGTTTTGTCCGTCAGCTTCTCGGTGAGGCGCACCCTGCCCTGGGCCTGATCGTAGGCGCTTTTGTAGCCGGGACCATTGGCATAGGAGAGGATCGTGTAGGGCAGCTCATCGTCGGTCGTGTCATCGGTCAGGCCAAAGATCTCCTGGTCGCGATACTAAAATACGCCACAGACAGACAGGAGTTAGATGGATCTCTGCCAGCTAGCCAGCCAGCCAGCTAGGTCTGTGTCAAGGAGACAAACACTCACCGGATAGCCGTTGATGGACATGGTATGTCCGTGATCTGCGGTGACCACGATTAGGGTGTCATCCGCGGAGGTCATCTCGCGGGCCTTCTGCACAGCCAGCGCAAACTCGGCCGTGTCCTCGAGCGAGCGCCGGGCATAGGTGTCGTGGTGGGCCATGTCGATGCGGGCACCCTCCACGAACAGGAAGAATCCCTTCTCGTTGCGCTGCAGCACTCGGATGGCCGCCTCCGTCAGCTCGGACAGGGAGGGATCCGCCAGCTGGCTGCGATTGCGTGCCCGATCGCCGTTATACGGCAGATGGGAGCTGGCGAAGAGGCCCAGCAGATAATCCGTCTTGTCGAGATCCACCAGGCCGAGACCCTTCCGACTCCACACATAGTTGGCCGAGACATTGGCCGCCTGCTTGTCCGCCAGCCAGTCCTTGATGAGGTGCCGTCCGTCGGTACGATAGCCGGGATATCCCTCCTCATCGTTTACGGTGGTGTTGATGAACTGCTGCCGTCCGCCGCCGAGCACCACCTTCAGCGCCTTGCCCACACGCCCCTCCACCAGCTGGCGGGCAATGTCCAGGGTCTGCTCGGAGTCGCAGGGTCTCTTGCTCACCTCCCAGTCGTTCTCCCAATTGCGGTCAGCGACGTGAGCATAGACGCCCGCTGGTGAGGCGTGTGTGACTCTGGCTGTGGTCACGAGACCCGCATCCTTGCCCGCCTCCTGCGCCCACTGAGCGATGCTCTCCACCTGATTCTCCTCCTTGCCGGCACCGTCACAGTCGTAGCGCGACACATTCGCATTGATGCCAATGGTGCCGTAGTTGCCCTTCACGCCGCCCAAATAGGCGGTGGCAGTGCACGCGGAGTCGGCCACCTGCCGATTGACGCAGTACGTCTTGGAGAGGCCCGTGTAGGGGAACTGCTCGAAGTACACCTTCTCGGCACTGTCGCCGAGCAGATTCCTGGTGGCGGTCACCGTGTGCACGGACATGCCATCGCCCAGGAACATGATCACATTCTTGGCCGTATTCGTGTGGGCCGCCTGCGTCTCGGCCAGCTTGGCGTGCAGCGTTTCCTGTGCCTTCGCCACCCAGTACTCCGTCTGCTGCTCCTCCACATACTTGATGGGATGCGGCTCCCCGCTGCCCCATTTCCGTGGATGATCTACAAATAGCAAAAAAAAAAAAAACCAAAAAAAAAAGCACTTTAGGATTGCTAGCGTGGACGTGGACGTGGGTTGCCTTGTGGAGCGCACCATAAATCGTAGTGTTCGGACATATCAAGGGGGATTTTTGGCAGTGGGTTCTTATCTGATAGCTGCTCCTTGGGCTAACTTACCGCGCTGGGCACTGGCACTGCCGCTCAGCCAGACAGCCACACCGAAGAGCAGTAGAATCAATCGTCTGTCCATTCCGCCAATCCGTTCTCCGTTGGGTTACTTAAGAGCCTCACTTGCTGGCACTTGTGTGGAAGCCAGAATTTGGCAATTGACTAAACCAAAAAACAGCAAGAACTGACCATCGTGCTGAGCCATATCGGCCAGTATCAAAACGTAAATCTAATCAGCCGCACCAGAAGTAATCTAACGTTTAAATCAAATCATAATTTATGATGGCTGGGCCAAGATATTCCCCGAAGACGCAGTACCACTCTACTCACGTGCCTGGCCAGCAATCGCTGTAAAACCAGGGAGATGAGATGGTTACGCAAAGAGTCCTTGTAACAGACTTATGTCAGAGAACTACAAATGCTTCTCTGCCCTTTTGTGCACTTCTTGGTAAGCTTTTGCCACACCTTCAAGGACTTTCTCAGTTTCATAATAAATACAGGTGTATGGGGGGGGGAACATCTGAGAAACAGTTGAGAAAGTTTCTTTGCATAAGAGTTGAGCTGCAAGCGCTGCAGCTCCTAGCCAAGAGTCACCCCTTTTGCCCTGTACACACAGCCAAATGATTACACAGTAGAAACATGAATGAAGTCTGCGAATTGCATACTTTTGGGAATCCAAAGCAAAAACCAAATCAAATCCAATCAAACCCAACAGATGCGCATTCGTTCTATTGCCAAATAAATATGAATACAATTCTACATTATGGTATTGGCCAGCGCCACAATGGAGCCCGTAAATTTGATGACCTGCAAAGGATTTTTGAGATAGAGAAAAAAAACGGAGAACTGTGTGCGAATAACCCACCGCAGTAAAGACAGGCAGGGAGGGCGCAAAGAAGGGCACTTCGACGGTGATGGGTCGCTGGGCGCGTAGAATGATCAAGTAGACCCGTCGGCGTGTCTCACGATCCCAGCCGTGCCAGTCACTGCTGTAGGCCGCCTCGCCCATGGCGAGACTCTGCAAGGAATTGGCAAAGGAATTTCAGCTCGAACTGGAAGACTCACTCACCTCAGTGGACATCTCAGTGCCGCCGTAGCAGTAGAGGAAAATGGCCGAGGAGACTGTGAATGTGTATACCACATAGCGGATGATGTTGTAGCCCGGAGTACTAAGAGACCCGCTTATGTTTAAGGCTAAATAGAAAGAGATACGTGACCCCTACTCACCATGAGTATGTCTATGACACTGGTGGCTATCACTAAGCTGGCAGACACAAAGTGCACAAAGGTCGGTGCTGCCATAATGCCAGAGAAGCGGCGCACAATCAATGCAATCTCATTATGCCGATCCACGATATTGGCCAGCCGCTGACAGCACAGTTCGCAGTCCCTGGGGCGGGCATCTGAAATCTCTCGAGTGTCAACCGACTTGAGCGAATCCTGCAGATCCAATCGCAGCGCTTGCAGCAGGAAGGCCACATAGAGGGTGAACCCGAAGAAGAAGCCATCGGTGCCGGCAAAGGCGTAGACAGTCACCTGTCCGCTCCAGGTGGAGTACAAATAGAACAGTGGGAACCAAGGCATGCGATGGGCAAAATCGGGGAACCTAAGCAAGCGCAGTTCAAAGGATTACTACACAGGGACACTCTGGGGGACTGTTGGAGACGACTACCCACAGCATGCGGAAGGGCATATCGAACTTAAAGTCTGCCAGGCCATGCGACCACATCTCCCACATGGAGCGCAGCACAAAGGCACAGGTCGTGATGCTGCCCAGGGTGAAGACGAGCATCCCAAAGCGCGTGGCCAAGAGGTAGTAGCTCCTTTGCGCCCCATCCCTGCGGGGATCGCGTCGCCCGACCTGCTGCTCGGTAAGCCGTCGGATGTGCTCCATCAGCTCGAACACCTCCTGGCGGCGCCACCACATCCAGCCCAGCTTGAAGAGCGTCGTCGAGCTGCAGGCCAGCGGACAGAAGGCATCCATGGCGTCCACGGGACTGATCGAGAGATGGCGCCAGCCAAAGACGAACTCCGCCTGGCAGCAGTGGGCCAGATTCACAAAGTTGAAGACCAGCCAGGCCAGCGAGAGCCAGGACTGCGACTTTGCCCCGTCAAATCGGAGACCCAGCAGGCCGAACGAGTAACGGGGCACAAAGAACAGGTGCTTCTCCAGCGGATAGTTGCGGTCTAGGAATCGCGGATACATGACTACGTCTCCATGCAGTGTCCAGCTGGAGCAGCTCTCCTTTATACTTTATACACTTCTTGGTTTGGTTTGGTTACGCCACGCTACTTAATTGCTTAATTATTATTTTCGCCCAGGGGCCAGCCAGGTGTCCTCTGTTTAATAACAGGATAACCCTTTGCAAAGCCTTTAATTGAGTGGGCGACAGACCCCACACGCCCCCAACAATTATATCATTATAGGGCTGAGACAGCAGTTGGCCTGGCCAGATTGTTAATTGGCGGTAATTGCCTTACTCAGAAATGGATCGGATCCCTTTCCTGTTGTGTTTGTTTTGCTTTACAATTACCAACATATATACAAGAGAAGATTCCCTTAATCGAATTTGCATGGTGAAAGCATCTTAAGACCCTTCCTGAATGGGATCTCCCTTTTGCTTCTCATTTATATTTATTCAATTATAAATAATTACTCGGTTCCTTGAACTATCAACGCCTCAATACATATATCTTTGAGCATACTCGTAAATATGTGACAAAAAGTGTCGCCAGTTAAATCTTTGCATCTGTTTTTATTTTCAGCATAAATTCGCATATACATATATGATATGTATATATGTATTTGTGTATTCCGTATTCCTCTTTGGCCGGGAAGTTTGTTGAACTCCCAATGAGCTCGGGCACTCGCATTCGAATTTCAAATCAACTCCGCGTTGTGGGTCAAGTCAAGCCCCAAGAAACATTCTGCTACGGCTGGCCAGAACACTCCGCCATAAGAAATCTCCATAAGGTTTGTCCACAGATTTATGTTGATGCATGCAACTGGGCGGGATACATCCTCATCACTTTTAATTAAGTTCTTTGCCGGGCGAACGTTGCGTATGAGCAATCAGCTCCAGAGTATTGATTTCCATGCAAGAAGTTTTGATTACATTTTGGCAAGCCAAGCAGGGTGGGCAGGGTGAGGGAGGGGGTGTGGAAATTTTAAGTTCATTTCATCCGTTCATCCGCTCCCAGTGGAAACATCCACCCTGAAATGGCGATGGCACCCAACCAAGCCCCGTCGCATCCCCCAAACTTCCCCAAAAAGCAGCAGCAGCAGCAGCAGTGGGGAACCACTAACCACTCCCCCCCCCAAAAGGCAGGCAGGGCAACAAAGGTGACCCCGACACACCCTGTTGTTGGGGTAAAGTAAAGCGTAAGCAACCCCCGCAGTGTTAGGAGCGCCAAGGGAAACTGAAAGCTTTCCACTGGAAGGCAAGGCCCTAAGCCAAGGAGAACATTTTCTTTTCTCATAGCTTATTCTCTTTTTCTGCTGGAGTGGAACCTGATCCTGCATGGGGGCCAGCAGGGCGGAGACGGAGACGCGCAGGGGCAGGCGGCCGCAGCAAGTGGAAAATCAAGGAGTGCCAGCTGGAAGCGAGGAAAGGAGGCCAACGTGTCAGCGAGTCGAGTCGCCAAAAACAGTTGCAGAACCCGACCGAAAAAAACCAGTTTTTCCACTCAACACAGATACACACACACACATACACTCACACTCACACTCTGTCGCTCTGTGCTTGTGCCCCACTTTCGGGTGTCGCTGTGGAAAATGGATTCGAGTTTTCCCAGTTTCCCCTACCCTACCTACCCTTCCCCACAAGCTTGGGTGAAAGGTGCAGCGGGCCAGAGGGAGCCGAGCTGGTTGGAGCACTGAAACAGGTTGATTTTCCTGCTGACGCCGTTGGCCATTAGCCAAATGGGATTTCACACGCTTCCTGCCCGCCCCGCCCCGTCCCGCGTGTTCGGTAGGTTTTCGGCTTCGATGCGTTTGCAGTACGTCATGGCCCAGTTGGATTGCGGGCCGGGATGGATGTGGATCTTGACATCATCATTGCCCCCCATCCTGATTAATTATTGAAACACTGCCACTCGGCCTGCTTCTGCTTCTGCTTCTGCGTCTGCTTCCTGACAACTTGGACTCAGGATGTCCACACTCAATTGTGTGTTTGCCATTCATCCTCCGATTCGAATGAAAAGCACAAGGGACACCACCATCTGTCAATGGAAAGGCTTAACGAGAAAAGCAGCAGCCAGTGGCATGAGAAATCATGATTTATATATGGAAGCTCTTTAGTATCAGCTACTACTCGTATATTGATGGCAGCTGGGGATCTTCTGGCACTCCCCATAAGTGTTTCCCATGTGTCGCGGAATTCTTTTGGTAGCTATCTATCTATCGTTCATTGGCTGGTTGGTTTTTCCCTCTCCTTTGTTAATTCACAAAGCGGCGTTAATTATAATTAAAAGAGCCAAACTACTAAATGAACCAAACCGATGTATAAGTATTATATATGACTGACTACGAGTATATACTATAGCCAGTGCCATATCTACACACATGTGTATATGCATGTGAACAAGTACCATGTATAGTTCCATGTACATGCATATGTATTTAAGTGTGCATATAGCATATAGCATATATCCCCTCCACTTCGTTCACATGGCCACAGATCGAGCGTGACACAATACAATTTGTGGCGCTTTGTTCTAAGCGCTTGAAACTCTTCGTTTCTAGCCCCCACCCTAGCCCAGGCAGAGGCACAGGCCCCAGTATGCCCCCTGCGTTCTACCCTTTGGACAGACGTGACATAAGCTAAATTGTTTTAAATTTTGTTGAATCGCCTTCTCGCTGCTGCTGCTGCTGCTGCTGCTGCTTCTGGGGATAAATTGAAACCGCTTGGCATGTCATGTGGAGCACTGCGGTCGGAGGAACGTGATGGGTTAGCTTAGCCAGAGATCTTTAAACTAATGGACTGCGGCACAAGGCAGCCAGTGCGCGGTCAATAGTGCGCACGATAATTGTCGATTGAATGGAGCTGTCAGCTGACAGTTGGCTGAATAGGGAAACGAGAAGGAACCTCCCTCCCTCCCATCTGATTAATGACAGTTAGCGTGAATCGATGATGCTGCCTGCGACTGCCGCTTGAATTACATTTGCAACATGAGAAGGCAGTAGTAAACATTTCCCGACCCAATCAATTTATGGTTGTGCGCAGAGCGGTGGGGGGAACAGCTGTTTAGAGAGTCAATCATTTAGTATTCCCCAAAACACCTTCCCACGCCTGTGCCTCACGCAAAGTCATGAATAGTGATGACATACCCTTGCCCTCAGCCCGCTCAGCGATTGGGGATATTATGTCCATGCATGGGACTGTCGTCTAGGATGGCTAGTTCCTCTGTTATTAAGATATTTGCAGATAATTTGAAAATTAAACGTTTTTTTACTCTCTTCTTAAAATTAAACCTTAAAACCGAGCACCCAGTATGGATCGGATCAGCTTGTATTTTACACTGAAAACTAAAAAGCTCCGTGTGTGGAGGCAAACAAAGCCCCAACCGAAACACATTCATCACACCACACTCACACAGATAGAAGGAACACTAGAATGAGACTTTGGAGTGCGGCTCGGCTCGGGTTGGATTGGATTGGCTTGGCTCTGTGCTCAGATTCTGAATCCGAGACTTAAGCTGAATCCAAATTCGAAACTCGCTGCCTTCAAGGCTAACTTCTTATTAAATGCCAAAATGCGAGCCCAAGCAGCCGCAACTACAACAAAAAGTGGCAAGAAGCGGTCGAGGGACAGGATTATACTCGTAATTACATTAGGATGGGGCGGGGGGTTGTCTCTGCTCTCAAGCCATCAATATGGGAACTTTGATGCTGGAGCGGGAGGAGCGGTAACTGGAGCCACATGTACCGATGCTTCCAGTGGCAACGTCAAAGCAAAGTCGGCTATCGCATGTAAAACTAGCTTCGACAGATCGGCCACCAAATGCAAGATGGCGTCATTCGTGGCGTAGAACGGGAGAGCGGAGCAGCGGAATGGAATGCCTCTCCTCTGCTAATGAGTAACAAGTCTGCTTAGACAATATAACATACAATAAATACATACAGACGTTTCTCTGTTTACTTGAGAGTTGTCTGCCTATGCTCTTGGCTCCCAAGGTCATCTACTGTTGCAGGCATTAGAAATAAACTCCGAGCTGAGCTGTATTTAGTGCTTTGTTAGTAATGCCCTGTCTGACTGTGGCTGTGCAGTCGGCAATGGAGTTTCAAGGCAGCGCTCACGCAATTACTTGATATTTTCTTGATAGCTTGTTATATCTACAATTCGATAGCCCAGCCAGCCACTCATTGTGAACATGACATGCCACATTCTAACTGGAATGACACGCTGTCCGTTGGTCCCGCTCCCTCCCGCTCGGCGGCTATGCAAATATGTTTCCAGTCGAATGCCTCGGGTAATGATGAGCAGGGCCCGCGGCAGCGCCAGGGACGCACACCTGAACCCCCCAACCCACCCATCTGTCCTTCCTTGACCACCCTCCTCCTACGCGCTCAGAAAAACGCAAATTTATATAATTTTTCCGACGGAAAAAGTTGCATCACCAGCGGCAATTGCAGTTTTTATTTTAGCTTTTAGCATCTCTTAGTCATTTCATCTTAATTATATTTTTGACGGATGAGAATGGGAAAAAGTCCCATGACACACGACGGACGATTGCCGTTTCACTCATGCAAATGTAAAATGGCTGGGCATTTGAAAGTCCAATTCTCTTTCCAGTTCCCACACAATGAATCATACGATAGAGATAGAGGACAAACTTGATTTCTTTTCCAAAAACTAGCAATATTATTCACGCACACACACGCGCATGCATGTATACCATACCTTCTCATGCGTGTTTACGTAAGTTTCGCTTTTGTTGTATTTGCCTGCCTCCTCGTCCTATTCCTCTTGCCCATTCATTGTACAGTTTCATTTCGTGTCTCTCCGTTTCTCTCGTTCCATTTCATGCAGCCAGCCACCAGCCCCGTACATATCATTGACTGACTTAGCAACAGACAGCAAGAACAACAGTCGTAACGGTTTCATGTCCGTCCCCGCTGCGTCCCCCTCCTGTGACGTTGTTTCGTGGAAGAACAAAGCACACAACGAAACAAACATATTTGAGGGAGCTTTGAAAATTGTGAGTGCGTGCGTGCGACAGAGCTAGAAATATGTACAT